GCATTACATATTTGCCTCTGGGTGGGTGCGGGCCCGCGGCCCTTCCTGCCGTTCTCCGCCGGTCGCTGGGGCAGGGCTGTGCCCGAGGGCGACATCCGCACGCGTTGCCCCGCTTGCTCGGGGCGCTTTGCGGCTAATACCTAGCTGGTGTTTTGGAGGAGCGCCGGGAACCCGAGGGAGAATACCGCTGAGGTCTTGTCCTGGAAAACTAAAGCTTCTTAGGCAACGCTGTCTTGCAGGGTTTCGGGTACCCTTAAGGAATGTAATGTTGTGGAGGTTAATTAAAAGGCAGTTGTAAAGTATTTGAGGCTAAAACTGTTTTGACAGCTCGTCTTCTTTTAATCTTTAGGTGAATTTTCCTCCTCTAGTAGCTCTTAAAGGTGTAACTGTTCTGCTTGTAGATGTGCAGTATGGAATGTTCATTTCTTGTTCCCCTTAAACTTCAGATACGTTTTTGTGCTGGTACTGCATTTAGTTTCAACACAGTAATGTCACTTGAATGCCATTATGGTTCTTCCAGTTATTTGGCACTGAAGGTTTCTGTGAATGTCCCTTGCTGCAGTATTCTTGTTGCTAAGTTGGATTTTTTATAACTCCTTTCAAACATATATTGTTTTTATAGACTTACGCAGATTTACTTTGTATTTTTACAGGCTGCTGTTATTCCACTTTGGGTTCTCTTAATGTGGGTATTGTTTCAGTCTCCTAAATACAGTTCTGGGGTTTTTTTGTTTTGTGTTTTGTTGGTTGGTTGGTTGGTTGGTTTTTTCTTGTCATCACCTTCACATCAATCTCTTTAATGACTAATATGAACTAATGATAAAAAAGGAATGTGTCTATGAAGGAGTGTTTTCCTGAAGGCTTTAAGGTACTTTAGATTTCAGGAAAAATTGTTACAAGCTTTTGGAGAGCATTTTGGAAAGTTCACTGTTAATGTTGTCAAGGTAGGCTCCATGCATGGTATTTCTAATAACTTAAAGCTAGAAAACTGGCCTATTTTTGGTCAGAAATACAGCATGTCTAACTTGCACATGTCAGTGAGAAGTACTCGTTGTTTTAACAACCTTAATAATTTTAAAGCCGAAGGAGTCACTAGTGGTTACGTGATGATGATGAATTGTGTTAAAATTGCTTTCCAACCTTAATTCCCACATTTGGTTGTAAATTACAGCGTCACCACATCTGACAGTATTGCACCAAATTCTGTTATGCATGTGTAAACAGCTGTTCTCTGAATCCTTATAGAGCTGAAACACCTTCTTATTCTCTATGCAGCATTGAAATATGTGAGAGGTCAATGTACCCTCTCACCTGCAGGAGTTTGTCCTTCAAGAGTGGACATAAAATACTAGCTGTAGTTGCACTGATGTAACATGAGGAATCAGATGGTGGTGAACCGGGTGTGTGATTTGGATATTGCCAGAGGTTCTTTCTCTTACTTGCCTTTTATATTCTAATATTTAAATTGTTACCTTTTCATTATCCAACAGCGTTATAGTTCTAGGCAGCTGTGAATTCCATAGAGCATAGACTTCAAAAGTGTGTTTTCTGGATTGTGAACTGTAGCTTGGATTTACATGTTTCCTTATTTTAAAATCCAGATATATTCAGTTACATAGATTTTACTCTTTTGCCAATTACAGTATATAAAATCCAGAAACTTTCCCAAGTTCGATACATTAGCAGTAGTATCAGTCTTAAATAGATCAGAATTCTTCTGTGTTTATGTAGTGAAACAGAGGGAGAACTTTTGTTGAAGATCATGTATAAAAATAGGCAGTATAGCTGGAGTTGAAATTTGTGGTTCTCTCACTTAATTCTCATTAAGAGGGGCAAAATGAGTCTGGGATTATTTGCTTTGTGTTTACTGAAGTCTGACTGCCCTCTTATGTAGAACTGACTATGTTGCAAGTGGCTGGTATCAACTGTAAGACCTCTTGAGAATAGCTCACTGACAGTGCTGTTACTAGAACTTTTGATCAGTGCTACCCCTAGGCATTGACATTTAACTTTAATTTGACCCGGTGTGTAGGAAGGCTGAGGAATCACGCCAAGAAATTTGCAGGTAGCAAGTGTAATGCAAACTTGATTTTGTTTTGGTGGGTCTTTTTTTTTGGTACTCTGCTGTTTGTCTAAGTCATACTGTCTGAGGCACATAGTGACCTTTCCAGATGCTGTGGACACAGGCTAAAGGTGAAATTATTATGGACCAGTGTTCAGGATTAAAAGACAGCTGCCTCTTACTGGCAGTATTGTTCTTCAGGCCCATTTTATTACTCAGGGTTTGCTTACCACAGAAAAGAACCGATATTTTGTAATGTAATAAACATGAATGCAAGTAGATGCAGTCCAAGCCATGGATCTTGTTACATGGCAGAGTAATTTACTGGAGCTTATTTGGGGAGATGGGGCAGAAAGGATGTTCTTGGGTGTAGTAGAAACATGAGAAGGAAATGTTTGACTGGCTTCTCCAAAGTAAATTAGATAAAGGTAAAACAAGAGGAGTTAACTGCTTTTTCTTCACTGAGTTTTCACTTTACCTGCTATTCTTTACTACAAGCAGAAAGAATCAGTTGAATTGGACTTTGCCCACATTGCTGCAGAGTGGTGATTTGCTTTCCGTAGTGGTACTACTAGAGATATAAAAAAATGGAATGTAGTGGGTGGGTGTGTAAACAGGGAGCATGCTTTTTCCTTTATACTAATGGCTGAATTATTAATTCTCCTCTCAAACTGTAGTGAGAAGGGAATGTGGAGATATAAGCGAAGGATTGGCCAGAGTATTTTGTTTAGTGCTATTCTCTTTCTTCCGCTGGAATATTTCTACAGGTCTACACTGGTATTTAGTGTTCCTGTATTAAAAATCATATGTATGTGGTTCTTGAAAGGATGGTCTATGTGAAACCTGTTTTCTTCAGAACCTAGTTCTTCAACGGCTTCTGGCCATCCATCTCACTTTACAGATATCAATCTGTGTTTTGCTGTTGACTCTGTTTGAAGCATGTGACTTCTTCTACAGTCCTCGGCTCTCCTCACACTGTATTTCTGTTGCATTGGATTCTGAAAATCTGGTCTCCCATTTCCTGCATGTCAGCTGCTTGTCTGGCAACAAGAGAGTGGGACTCTGTTTCATCATAGAGCAGTTGAGAAAAAGTTGACTTTCTGGGATTTTTCAAAGATTGTGTAATGTCCAGTGATATGTTGAGTCATTACCAGGGTATTTGTGGAGAAGACTGAGGAAGTGATGAAAAGTATGCCAAAGATTGTACTTTCTCTACGAGGAAGGAGGGCAGTGTTTATAGCAAATAATAGGACTGTCTCCTGGATCTAGCCTTCTTTTTCTGCGTATGCAGGTTCCTTCTGTAATTGGAATCACACTCAGGTGGGATTTTCAGCATGTGGTTTTACCAGTGACTCAGTCCTAGAGTAAGTCTTTCTAGCTGGATGATTAGGGTATGGGGAAATAAATGCCTGTTCTTTTCCAATGGGCGAGTATGGATCCTGGTGATTCTTCCAAGTGTGCTTGCAGAGAAACTCTTGAATTTTTTACTGTTCTTGTCTCTGCTTCCCTTGTGTATTACTCAGAGAGCTGGAGTATGATAGCTGATTTGCACTGGCTTTGGAGGCATTTAAGGCAATTTGGCTACAGCTGGAGAGGCAGCAAGTGAGGACACAGCTGCCTAATCAAGTTTTGAACAGTCTTGGCAGAGATTGACTTGTGAGCACCCGGAACAAGGGTCTTTGGTTATGCAATGGTATCCTCTTCAGGCCATTATAATTTAAAAAAGAAAAAATGTTTCAGTACAGAAGAAAATAATCTGACTAAACTTCATAAACCTTTTCCAATATAGCTTGAGCCTAGCTTATGTAGAAAGGGGTAAAAGGAGTTTTGCTATTTATCACTAAACTATATAATGTTTGCCTGTTGCATGTACCTATTATGAAGTTGCACAAAATATGGTAAGGCATTCAGAAAATTCTTTATTTGAGGGTATAGTAGATCTATAGCTATTCTTGTAGTGTCAGGGTTCTGTTATTGCCATGCTCTTCACCAGAGGCAAGGGTCAGCCTGAAATTTGACATTGTTGTGGCTTCCTGCAGGAAATGGTGAAAATACTGCTTGCTTTTTGACAGCCACCATGGAGAGAATAGATAGTGTAGCTGTTGATAGGCTTGAAACTTTGCCAGGGGTATGTGTGACTTCTGTTCTGTAACACAGTTGTCTGTGCCTTCCCCTTTTCCAGGCCTGGATACTGTAGCAACTTGGAAGTTTTGTCTCTTTCTGGACAACACCCGTCTCAGTGTTAACCTGTCTTGCATTATCTACATGCTCTTTCACTAGTACCCAAGTATGATTTTAAGGGGATTTATTTTGCTACCTGGTTGTCTAGAGTTGTCTCCTTTCTGCCTGTTATCAAAGTTGGGGCCAGGGGCTACCTTTTCTTAATTGCAGGACAAGCTATAACCAGTGGCAGAGACTTTTCAACTGACAGTGTCTGTTAAATTCACTCATATCTGGCAACCCTCAAGACACTGCAGTTTGCACTTTTGAAGCTGCGGATGAAAATGTGTCTCTACTGTTTGCTCTCTGTTATTACTTCATGTACTTACCGCAGCACTAATGGTTTTACCTGCTACTAAAACTACATCTGTGTTCCTAAACTACAGCATGGCAAAAGATTAAGGCAAACCTATGCCTATTTCTGCAGTCAGACCTACTGTTCAAATATAAGAAGCTCTCAAGCTGATATGCTCATGGCAAATAGAAATTGAAAGAAAGCTCTGATCTTCTGGAGCTTAGTGACAGATTGAAAATGTGTTTCTTGCAAGTTTGTCAGTTCAGCTTAGTGTTGGCGACCCAGGCACAACTCAGAGGAGATGCCTCAGGGAAAGAAAAGAATCACAGCCAGTGATCTTCCAGGCAGCCTGAAGAAAGACATATGAACATTGCAGTTTCAGCTTCAGATGATTTATTCTTCTCCCCAGTAAGATGAATAAACTCTTCCTGAATTAATCTGCGTGACACTTCCTCCTTTTGTTTTCCATAGATCTTTCAGCTTCAGATCTGGAATAAAGATCAGTCTTCCAAGTGATATTCTTTAGACTACAATTTTTAATCCATACTGCTCATCTGGTATGTAAAACTGTGACCACCAAGAATAAGAAAATGAAAGGGTTGGGAGAAGTACAGTATATTGTGAGAATGAGTGCAAGCATGTTATGATGTCTCTGTAGGATGTAATGAATGTCTCTTTTCAAGAGGAGAAAGATGGTGACAGATATTAGTCAGGGAACACCTAATCCATTTTAAGGCTTTGCTTGTTTTTCTGTGATGAGCAGGAAGACAGATAAACACAGGGATTTATGCTCAGTTCCTGGTGCTGGACCTGAAATGGCTAAAGATTGACATAAGTGCTTAGTAAAGTCTAAGCCTAGTGAAACACTTACTGAAAGTAGTGCCTATTGACTATTTTAGTGGACCTCTTACCATGGAGAACAGCACAGTTAACCTTTAGATCTTAATTTTAGTGTGTGGCAGCGAGTGAAGAACAGTTTTAATCCCACGCCAGTATAAAATTGTGGAAAATGGGAACTGTGCCTTGTTGTAATAAGGCTTTTAACAGTGGCTTGCCAAAGGAAGAAACCAATTTGAAACTCAAAGTCTCTGTAACCGGCTTGGATGAGCTGTGTTATAGTCAAATAAAGGTGGAGGGGGGGAGCATAACCCTGCCCAACCCTGTAATTACCTAATCACTGAAGTGGGGAACAATCAAAAGTAGAGGCAGATGTAACTAAAAATAATACCCTGAATATGTTGCAGTATGGATGATGTCATCCACACTTAGCTGTGATTGCAGTGGTTTCAAATGCTCCTTTTTTTTTTTTTTACTCACTGGATAAATCTTTGAAAATCACTTACTTTTAAATGGCTACAGGAGGAATAATAACATAAAGTTTGAACCAGAGAGATAATCTGACTCTGAGAGCAAGAAAAATAGTCAGTTGACTGACTGAGGCTAGTTGGGTATCAAGAACAAATCTTTTCACTGGATTCCAGGGGCTTTGGCCTTCATGCCAACATAAATATGGGTGTCTCTAATAGGAGAATTGCATTGGATTCATTTATGCTTTTTGGAAATTTATGATACGAAATACAAAGTTCATTTTTATACTTCCCTGTTTTAAGAAAATAGGGAGTTAAATGTTGAACTAGGCACTCCTTTTTCCTCTGGGTGTTTTGAAGAGAAGTGAGGTCTCCTCTCTAAAAAATTTTTCTCATGTTTGTAAGTTGGTCAGACACCTAATGTTCTAAAAACTGAGCTGAAACACTTCAGATGGCTGTGCAGGCTTGAACAGAGGGTTGTAGCTACGTAGCATTTATTTTGGCTGCTCTTAGGGATTGGTGAAGTTCCTGTTGTTTGCGTTGGGGTCCTGTAAAAATTTACTTGTGCTCAGGGCAGGTGTGGAGAATACTGTCCCTCAGCGAGTGAAGAGGCATCTAATTAATGCTAAACTCTCTCTGCCTCTTTGGCGGCTTTTTCCTTTCTGTTGTCTTGTGCCCCTCTGTAAAGGGGCACAAAAAAGTTCTGCAAAGAAGCTAACTTCTCCTGAAGGAAATGGACAACCTTACTGTTCTGCTAAACACAGAGTATACCAAGTATGGGGAAAGAGGTGGCAGAGAAGGTAGATACTCAGAGATGCATGATGCCACCTATGTCCCTCTCTAAAATTCACGTGAAAAATTACTTTTTCTCATGACATCTTTCATCTGATGTGATAATTAAATACACTCAGTGTGTTCTGACAAATCTGAAATGCCCTCTGGTACAGACTCATGCAGTTGAAAACCTTTGTTTTTGAAATTAACTGTTCTGAATGTGCATGTTAGTGGCTTTTCTCAGATGTCTGATACCAGGTTGTCATCCGTAATTATTTGTGTTCTTTGTTCCTTCAAAGTATTGTCTGTAGTGGGCCCAAATCTGCTTCCAGTATGTCTACACAACTCAGTGATTTTTTGGGGGTGAACTTATGTCCTTGGAGACTGTGAATGATTGCAATGAAACAACAAAGGACCACAAGCATGAAACAGTTTGCAAAATTGTCGATTGTGGCGGTATATGCATATTGAAGTGCATTTCCTGCCAGTGAAAGTTCTTGTCACACAGGTTTTAGTGCTGTGAGTTAAGTGTTCCCATACTTAATTTATCTTTTATGTTCACTTTAAGATTACATGATGGAATTCACATTTTCTCAAGAAAAGCTGCGTATCTTGGATCAGTACCATTGAAGGTATCTTCTGACTGCGACACTCGAAGCAGGGACCTATAACAAATTTGTCAAAAGAACATACACAATGGATCTCAAAGAAAGCTGCCCGAGTGTTAGCATTCCCAGCTCTGATGAACACAGAGAGAAGAAAAAAAGATTTACTGTAAGTATGTAAGAGTGTGACTACTGTAGGCAAATGTGTAGGCTATTAGTGCCTAGAAGTGCTACTTTCTTTTTTTTTACCAGTAAGCTTGGTATTATTTTCAACAGGTTTATGGAAATCTGTTCACTTGCTCTTGTGAGTACTGGCCATAATCTAGTGTGAGAAGTTGTGAATGTTGAAAAACAACTGTGGTGTTTTCTTCAAAAAGAAGTTGAGTTTACAGATTTCTGATATTTTTACCCCCAAATAGCAGCATTTTCTTGTAGAAAATACACGAGTGTCCAAATGCAGGGATAATATTTTAGTAGTAAATCCAATTAAGATTTTTCATCCTATATAATTTGTCATGAAAACATTTGTTTTGTAAAGGAATAAAGTGTGGTTTTGTGTTTGGGGCTTTTTTTGTTTAAATGGCTAGTTGTTTCATAGATACCCTATTATGCTTTTATAATGTTTTTGCGTAAAAGGAAGAAAATTAGTATAAAACATCAATTTTTTTGAAAGACCTTTTTTCTGTCTTCCTTCCTGTTTTCTGATTCTAATGCCTACAAGTTTTTCCTATCCTGTTGCCATTTCCACTCCTTGTCATTCCCCTCCCTCTTCCTTTTTCGGCCTTCCAATTTGACTTGCTTTCTAAGTCAGGTCTTCCCACTGTGGGAAAATGCTTTGCATTGCATACTGAAAAATGAAGTAGTGTGGCATGGATTTTTGTTTTGCTTGTATGTATGCTACGATATAACGACAGCATCATAATACTTCCTTTAAAAAGCTCAAACTATTTCATTGCTCTTGTGCAACTTCCTCTAAGCGCTTTTTTTTGAGTGAATTAGTCACTCTTCACATGTGGAATGCAAACACCCTTAGACTGAGTTGCTGTCTGAAGAATACAACAAAACAAAGATTTTCTTTGAGTTCTATATCTGCCTTTCCTCTTCACCTCCCTTCCTTGGAGAAGAATAATGCTGTTTGATTCTACAAGTGAATGAAGATGTAATTTGGGGAAGGAGTGTGCTGGTAAAGGCAACAAGCAAAAGAGGACTTTAGTAATACTTTAAACTGCTTCATGCATGTGAAACTCAAATAAGCAGGAAGAACTTCATGAAAGTCTAAACTTGAGCAAAACAGGTTTTATTGCCTCAGTGCTGGCAGTTCTGCTGTTAAAATGTGCTGGTGTGGTACATCGTAGTGTTGTGGTTTCGAGGTCATTTTACCTAAAGATCTTTGTGACACCCTTAGAAACTAAAAGACACTTTCTTTGGGCATGCTTTTTAGAAAGCTGTACAAGTAAGAGTGGGAAACTTCAGAAATGGGGCTGGGGAGTAGGAAAAGGAATCCAACCCAGCTTGCACTCTGTGGAGTTACACTTTGTCTCGGTGGCTTCTGCTTTCTGCATCAGGGAATAATTAGCAGCTTGACAAGAACTGCTTTTCACAACCAAGATTTTGAGTATTATCGCATATATTTTAGGATTTGATAACAGAAGTGAGGGTCAGACTAAACTTCATGGTAGGAACTGTGAAATGTGTCAGTGCTTTTACTGTGTCTCCTCTTTTGTAGCTGTGTTGTAATGACTGGAGCCCATCAGTGCTGCTTTGGTGGGGAATGAGGGAGGGGTGCAGGGGGAAACAGTTCTTAAAAAATTTGTGGTAGGTATAGCAGTCTGTTTTGGATGGTAATGTTAGTGACATTTCCATAAAGAGCAGGAAGAACCTTAGGGTAAAAGGAAAGGTTGAAGTGATAAAGGCTACTATTTTGTATAATTTTCACCTTACTGTCACAGCATAAATCACTACTGCTTCTAAGACTATTTTAGAACCTTACTGGTCTGAGTAGAAACTAAGAATTCTTGACTGTACTTGACAGTGGCTCACTTAATGCTGACATGAACACAAGTGTGTGCAACTTAGCTTTTACTAGCTCTTCTTTTTCCCCTCACACTTGCCCTGATGAAGCATTTTTTTAAACAATCATATCTCTGCAGTCCTCATTCTGATAAGTGAAGCTTTTCAGTTTTGTCTTTGGAAGTCAACTTTTCATGCCTCCTGAGCACTTTCAAAACCTTTCATTGAATATTTAATTTGTTTTTGTTAAATACTGCATACATTTGATATATATTTACTACAAATATTTTTTTCTTGACAAATAATTTCATGTTTGAGTTTTTCATGTGTTCTGGCAGGAGAGCTTTTCTTTGCTTCCACTTAATTCATGTTAAGCAGCCTCTCTGCATATCCAGTCTAGTTCACTGTCCTACCTTTTTCTGAAGATTCAGCATTCCCTTTCTTCATAACATTGCTTGTTTTCGACCATATCTAGGCTGTATTAATTGCTATTCTGTCCTTGCTGCGTAGCAGGCCATTCTTTTACTTGTTTTGCCAAATAGCTTTGTTTTGGATTTCTTGCTTTTATCCCTATGCTATTTGTCTGAGGCTTAATTTTCTCTTCTGTCCTGTTCTTGTCTCCCGTGGTACCCCCGTCATGTACAGGCTTATTAATAAATCTCTCTCAAGGGTAGAAATCTGGAAACTTTGTTTCAGAACTGCGATGTGTAATACTAATCTCCATCCCTGTGCAAATTGTGGAGTTGGTTTTTTATTTTCTTGACACTTAATAAATAATTTCCTTACTTTCTCAATGCTTGCATTCTTGAAATTGGAAAACAGCTTACCTTTTTACTTATCTTTGATTAATACAAATAGAGTGTTTAATCTAGGAGCATGAGCTACCGAAAGAGTTGAAGCCTTTTAGTTTCAGTGACAACTTCTGTGAAGAAATCTATCATGACCAGAAATAGCTGGACCCTGTCCTGTTTGTATCTGGGAAAACAGTTTATGGGAATGGTTATGATGGTGATGTTTTGAGGGATTCTGTTTATTTTTTTTCCTTTCTCAAAGCTTTGCATTATTTATATACATATTACAAGATGTGGATGCATCTTATCTATGTTTTAGTAGTTTTCTAAGACTAATTTTGGTTTAGGAGTAATTAGATTTGAAAAGGTTATTAGTAAGGCTAGAGTCCTCCCACACACACACCTTTTTAGAAAGAGGCATTGCACATCTCTATATCATTATATAGATGAAGCTCACGTAGTAATACAGCCCAAAGACATGTTACGGTTTTGGGTTTTACCAGATTCTTTGTGGTTACTCTATCTGTTCTTACCATTCTGTGCTTCCCTAACTGTTTAACTTGCAGTTTATCCTTTGTTGGGTGTGCAAGATATTCAGTGATGGTGTGAACTGGATGACTTCAAACTTTCTTTTTATGGTGGCTCATGTGAAAAATGTTGACTCTGTCATTGTTCTACAGCTAGCTACTCTGAGCACAAAACTGTTTTAAGGTTGCCAAGGAGGTGAATATCATCACATATGCTACGTTACGCTTGCCTATGCACTTTGCACTCTATGTGTTTTGCCCTGCTAATTTAAGAAGTCCATGGCCTGCTGCTTAAGCTCATGGGCATTGATCTGCCGTGCATTCATGGAGAGTGAGGATGTTGTGTGTGTGAACATTACTTGCAGGACTTGATTGCTATATAAGATACCTAGTTCAGGAGGACAGTACTTGTCTTTGCAGATGAAGCTTTTGCTGTTTACAGTCTAGAGAGGTTCTAGAAGGTGTGTAGCTGTATTTTATGCTAGTACTTGTTTAGCGGTATAAGGGAAAGCTAGTTTTCTAGAGGAGTCTTATCAGTATCCTACTGGATGCTTCGTTCCAGCCTACTGTGTTCCCCAGGGAAGACTGAGCACTGTTTATCTGAGCAGTTAACGTAGCACTAATGCAAATACCAGGCTAAGGAACTGATAGTGATGGTTGCCACTTCCACTGAGAGAGTTAAAGAGAGGTAAGCTACTGTGCAGGATAGGAGGGAGACTGTGGCACTGGTCTAATTTTCTTCTTCAGAAATTAGCAGCCTTCTGCACTGGTTTCCTTGCTGTGCCCATCCTCTCCCCTGAAGTAATAGCCAGGCTGCTTCTGGTGGAAGTACAAGAAGGTGGAGAAGGGAGGTCAGGTAGTTGCATAAGAGACAGGACAAGCCTGCTGGACACTCAGCTGTCAACTAGATTTATGAAGTCAGGGAATGGCAATCTGTCTAGTTACCAGAGTCCTCTGCTGACATGGGATTTGAATGGCCATACCTGTGCAGTGGGTTCTGGCTGTGCCTCCCTTGATATCAGTGCTGTATATTCTGTAACCTGTGCTGTATTTCAGCAACGGGAGCATCCCTTGAACAACTGTGTCATCTGCCAGGATCGTGACTATAATGTGAATTCAAGATTTTGCAAGGAACAGTTATCTTTGTAATTGCATTCCATATGTGCTTTCTGTTAGGTTTTGGTGAAGGTGATCTTGAGTGCTTAAATGCTTTACTTCCTTAATATTGGTCTTCATTATGGATTATCAAGTTGTTAACAAATTTCATAGCAGATTTTTTTATCAACTACTATCTGATGGCCAGGTGTTCTTGTTGGATATGAACTAATTTATGAAACTGCATTAAATCAGCTTTGGTGTTAGCTTTTGCTTACCTGGTATTTAAAAAAAATTCTGTAAAATACCAGAATCTTCTAATTGTTCATTTGTGTTGATGTGTATGTGACTTAGCTGTTATAGCTCAACAAGCTATACACAATACATTTAACAAACTGCCCTTATTTCTACTACAGGATTAAACCTGTGAAGTTTTATTAAACTTTGCTGTTGGCAGTAACTTTATCTTTGTTACTACAGGTTTACAAAGTGCTGGTCTCAGTTGGCAGAAACGAATGGTTTGTCTTTAGACGGTATGCGGAGTTTGATAAACTCTACAATACGGTAAGCGAAAGGCAAGCTATGAAATTGTGCCAGAACAGCACAGAGTAACACTTGTTCGCAGTGTTATGGTTTGAGTTAATTCCCTCTTGAGAAGTTTGAGTCAACATTCAATAATCATAGCAGCCTGTTTAAAGAAAATAACAGGATGAGGTTTTTTGAACTTTTTTTTTTTTTTAATTTCAAGCTCAAAATCCACTTATTTGCATTTGGTTTGTTTTTTGGTTTTTTGGGGTTTTTTTAAATTATTTCTTGGGATCATAGCATAGTGAGAGAAACTTCCACTTTATTGGTTGTGAAAACATCTGAAATGTGCATCTACTCATGATGGTAAAAATCATTGCAAAACTTAAAATGTCTAGGTAGATAAACTTCTCTTAAAATAAGTGTTTTACTTTGAAGTACTGAAAGCAATGAACAAATCCTTGTTTCTTAATACAAACTTTCTGGTAAGTCAGTCATGGCAATTCCTACCGTGAAGTTTCATAGCCAAATTTTGTGTCAGTGTTCCAAATAAAATAGGCTTCTTCAGCAACTAAGTATGGATTTTTTGTGTTTGTTGCTAGAAGATTTTCCTCCCTTTTACACAGTGGGCAAGTGGGACAAATACATGCTCAGATACGCTGTCTATTATGTGGATATGCAGTGTGTTATGTGTCTTGTGTCCACACTTTCCTCCAGTTCCTCATGTTGAGAGCCCACAGCTTTTGCTTTACCAAAAGAAGAAATAATTCTTCTGTGATTCCCTGTAAGAATAGATTACCAGCTGCTTATCTGTGGCTTCATTTCCCTTCCAATGCCCCTATAGGAAGTAGTCAGGTTTTTCTCCCTTCTGCCTCACTGCACATGGATTTATATGTGGCAGTGGTATACAAATGCAGGCATTAAGCTTGGAGTTGGCTTACGAAGTCTGAGCTGAAGTCAGCCTGCGTACATCATGCTATGCATTGCCTGCATCTTGGGATAGACTTGCAAGAGATGTGAAAATAAAGTATCCCCTTTTTGATACCTGCAGAGTTAGTGTTGGTGATCCTGTTCCCTTTGCTACATTGTCTTGCCATTCAGATTAGCATTGCTCTGCTGAAGTTTATTCAGCACGGGTCTTTCTAATGCATGTAGAGGTGGAGGTCCTGGGGAAGCATAACCAGGAGGACAGTTAGCCCAGTTTCTAATCAGGGTAATTCATGCAGTATAGTACACAAAAAAACCTCATGCTGCTAACTGGAAGAGATACTCATGTTTCTAAGAGAAAAAGAATTGCCAGCTACTGTATTAGAAAACTACTCAAGAGGATGAGAGTAAGATTGCTGTTCTGGAGCACATGAAGGTGAAGCAAATGCAATCAAGGCTTGACTCCTGTCAGGTTTTTTTGATAACTTCACTGCTGTTATATATTATCTTCTGGTCACTCCAAGTATAGAATATAATCAAATTAGCAAATGCCGCATCATAAAACAGACAGTTTATCTGTTTTTGATTTAGAAGTAGACCATCTCTGGTTTCTAAAGCTTTAAGAATATAGTTTAGGCAAAACCCAGAGGCCTGCATCCCCAACCCATCTTAAACCTCATCCATGCACCCCTGTGAAAGCAAGCAAGCAAGAAAAAAACAAATCCAAGACAGAGAGATAATTAATAGAGGAAGGAAGTAAAGAGAAGAACAAAACCAATATTGAAATTGTAGCCTACGTTTTTCAGTCTGGGGCCAAGTGGAAGATAATTTTGGCAATATTGCAGAAGATAGCTGCAATAGTCCATAGCTTTCTAAAGTGAGATGGCCTTTGAATTTAAAAGGATATGACTGGTGCAAACAAGCCGAGTGGCTTGGGTTTGTTTGGGTTTTTTTTGCCAAGTGTATCAGTAGATAAGATAGAGAGGAGCGCTGTTAGTAATAATCAGATGTTCAAACTGTTCAACGGAAAACAAAATGCAATTATTGCTAGGTACTTTGATGTCTAAGCACAATCAAGTTGTATGTGTTTTATTTTTAGCTAAAGAAGCAATTTCCCACCATGAATCTGAAGATTCCAGCTAAAAGAATATTTGGAGATAATTTTGATCCTGGTAAGTTATCATCTTGTTACTCATTTTGTCAGTTTCTTTATATGAAAATTGATCTATTCCAGCCTACAAGAAACTATCTTAGATGAGCTTTACACCAGTCCCCAAAGCAGTGACTAAACCAAAGTTTAGTCATGCTTCAGTCAAGAACAGGAACTAGTGTAGGTAGGTGTTCTACCTTGTGATCGTGAGCAAAGTATTGCTTTGTGGCCCAGTGCCTCTCTTGCTTTAAAGGCTATAGCTCCTCCCATCTTCAGGGTTGTGAGAGATTCTGAACTGTCAGGTGTAATCTCTCTTCTAAAAAGCAAAAGCCAAAACCCAGACTCTTCTGAGCCTATGCCTATTAAATTTTAAACTTCTTTTGTGTGACATTTCATTTTTCAGGGGGAAAAAAAAAGAATAACTAAAGGATTCATCTTTGAAGGCTTTTGAACTCTCTGTATTTAAATGTGCTTCTTTTTACAGTTTAGATGAAAATGAACCTCTTCCTGTTGTTGTTCCATTTACAGAAGCCTGTCTGATGTGAACATGATGTGATACAGTTAGTAGTGATAGGTTGCAGTTAAGCTTGCTCTGTCCACATCAAAGTACTAATGAAAAATCACTTGTGAAGTGCATTGAATTAGCCTAGGTGGCACCACCAGTGAATAAACAAAAAGACAAGTGAAAAGGCCAGGCCTTTGCTCTTTGTGTGTTTATGCCCTTCATTCTGGCCATTTTTACTTAAGGATTTTCCTGATGGTCATTGGGAACCTCCCGTGACTTGCAGATGTGATCAGACTGTGTTTGTAGTTTCACCTCCTGCACCTGTTTCAAGCATTTAATTTTCTCCTTTGCTGAAGAACAAATGAATCCAAAGGTATTGAACTCTTGGGATATGTTGTTTTGGGTTTTTTAGAGTTCTTTGAAACAAAATCATTTTTGACAGTTACAATTAATCATTTGGATCCTGATGTGAAACTCCCTTTCATTTTTTATTAAAATAATGAAATGCAAGTATCCAAGCTCTGATGTCCTCTTCTGATGAAGGTATGAATGATTGCCAAAAATTCTACATGTAATGTGTCTACAGGGATTTCTTGTTTTGGTTTGGTTTCTTTCCTTTTCTCTGACCTTGAGATTTTCAGAGCTGGATGAAGACCTAGTAATGTCACGCAGTCTGGTCTGCTGTACAGCCGAACCTACAAGTGGATTTCTTGGAGTCACGTTTAGGAAACAAGTTCAAATGGAAAAAACCTCTTGAAACTTTATTAGAACTATATATGTAAAATGAAGTCCTCAGACATGTTTTAAATTTCTGTGAACTATGCTGAAATCTTTGAAGCATGAGAAACTAAATAGTTCTCAAGACATTTATTGCTGGGGGGCAGGGTGGAGATGGAGCCATGTCGCTCATTTAAATAATTCTTTATCTTAACACTGATTTATTGAAGCTTTGATGTAATGTTTCTGCTGGGTTCTGAAATAAGTCACATATTTTACAACTGTTTAAAAGGTATTTTACTTCTCTCAATCCATACTTGGGTATGCAGCATTGTACTATTGCATTGGAGTGCAGTAGAGTGAAACTTGATATATTCCTTTTCCCCAAATCTACCAAAAATACTGTCATAACGTATGTTGTCATCTAAATGCTTCATTTTTATTGACACTTAGGTTATTTCAAAATTAATCCTGTTTTAACTTCAAAAATGGGACAGAGGAAAATCATAGAAACCAGTCAGAATACAGACCTGGAAAATTACAGACTATATTTGAACTGACATGATGCAGGTGTTTTATCTTCAACAACATGGAGATCTCTGTAGGCTTAGAGTGGCTGTTGGCATTGAACGTCCACCATACTGAAAATGCTGATGTTGGTGACTCCTGTAACATCTTCATGCAAATTTACCTTCCTAGTTGATGTCAGTAATTTTGGATTATTAAATACCCTAACAAGGGTTTAGAGATTATATCCTTGAAACAATATGAACATTTTTCTTAATATTTGAAGTACATCTTTTAATTGAAATTTAATTTTACTTTAAAATTTTAATAGTTGTCATTAATCTATATCTGACAGAGCAATTGGAATACCATAAAAGTTCATACTCAAATATTCTTTTTCCATAAAAATTATCATTGATATGACTGATGAAAGACAAGATTATTCTGTTTTACATTTTATTTCATGTTAGAACTCTATATTTCACATCCCTTGTATATCTTTCCATATTGCTAAAGAAAAGTTACATGTCTTAAGCTTTGGATGAGGGTGGAGATTCTGAGGACTTTTTTTTTACATTAGAGCTGATGTCCAAAATGGAAAAAGTATTTTATTATCTTTAATGGTTACATCTGAGTGCCTGTTGGTGGGATGAATTGTGCAACTTTCCTACTGCTGTATGTATATTATGGAAATATGCTGCTTGGTTGGACTGTTCATGTAAGAACTTGATTTGCACAACTGATGTCAATTTTCTTCTGTGGGTTGTTGGTTTTTTTCTGAGTGGGATCAGGTCCTGAAGGGTTCACCTGTGCAACAAAGGCTGTACAGGTTAGCCCACTGTGGTTACACACTGTTCTTGAAGCACTTCAGTGCGCTTTGTAATCTTATCTGGCTTTCAACATTTTCAAGTAGTGTTGCAGAGAAACTGAAATTTATTCTCTTACCTCACTTGAATGTCTTAAGTTTGTGATTTTCATATGTAGAACCAATCCAATTCTGAATTGTCATGAACCAATCTCTTTTTAACTGCTATTTAAGTCCTAAAAACACCTAAATTTGAAAAGAAGTCTTTTTTTCACAAGCTGACTGATCATTCTAATAAATCTATCTTTTTTTTTTAAATTTTTATTTCAGATTTTATTAAACAGAGAAGAGCAGGACTGAATGAATTCATTCAAAATTTAGTTAGACAGCCAGAGCTATGCAACCAGTAAGTAGCTTCATTTCTGGTTTATAAGGACTATTTAAAAGACACGAGATGTAAAATACAGAATTGCAAATAAAGTGTTTTACCTATTCAGTGTTCTTCAGTGTAACAAATAAACTTTAATATGGCCATTCATTCCTTCAGGAAGAATCTACAGACTGAGGAACAATACGAAAATGTTTTTGGTTTCTGTAAACTGATCTACAAATAAACTTGCAGACAATTAACTGATCTGAATTCAGGGGGTGCAGATTTCAGTGTAAACTCTACTGTAGGGCATGTGTTTTGCCAATGGCTGTACTGTTTGAGAACTCTGCTGTCACTTGCTACTGCCTTGCTGGGAGTAAGTCACTGCCTCGTGTGTGTACTCTAGAACTTTTTTAAAGTATGTTAACCAGATGGCTTGCTTAGCTTGTGTAGGTGGTCTGGGATAACCAAGCTGACCTGCCTAAAGCAAATGAATAAGCTTGCACATAAACTGTTCTGTTAGAACTGCAGGTGTGTTAACCTCCATCAGTGGGACAGTGATGAATGAGAGATAGTGATATGCTAGAGTCAGCTCCAGTTACATCTGGAGAATAGCACTTCTGGGTGTGAACTGATTTGGGGGGTAAACTGCATTGTTCTTTCAATTTAAATCTATACCTAATCAGTTTAAATTAAATCCATGCAGCTTTGTATCTTGCTTGAACTTGTGAAATGGTAAAGCTCTATCTTTGGCTTTAGTGTTGAGTAAATGTCTTTAATACACAGGCTTTGTTTAATTAGCCTATCTGTACAACTTGTGAAACTGATCATTTCCCACAGGAAAAAAAGCCTCTTATCTGACTATTGCTGTAGTTTGCAGTGTGCAGTCAAATTATTTTTCTTTTTTTTTTTTTTCCAACAAATGAACTATTTAATGTCCTAATAACCTGAAATACGTACTTCCTTTCTTTTTTTTTTTTTTGTAAAAAAGGAGCATTTTATATATACTTCCTTGTTATAAGTGGAAAAAGTTTAGAAACAAAAGTCTTTACGGTGCAGTAATTTTCCATTAGAACAAATACTGTGAAGTTTGCAGTTGTAGTAGTGTTCTTCTCTGGGAAAGAATAGAAAGCACTTAAAATAACTAATTATTGAAAGCTAATCTGTTTTGTTACATTAGGAAAGGACACTGGTTTTATGTCGCACAATCTCCTCCCCTGTTTAGTTGTCAGTATGGCCAAGTACTAAATACTCTGTCTCAAAACATACTGTATTTGTTCTCCAATGGTAAAATGGTACTTTTTAAATGCATATCACAAAATCATGTGCTTAAAAAAAAAAAGCCAAACCTCAAATTAACTTGCTGCCTTAAATTTTTGTGAGCTTTTAAAATTGTTTGACGCTAAAATGCTTCTGTAGCTGAATCTATTCTTTAATGTGGCACTTAGCATGTCAGATACATTAGAACTAACTTAAGTATTAAGAAATAGGTCTTACAAAGCGTTTTAGTGCTGTTGAGTGTGTTAAATATAATAAAAAGCTTATTAGGCAAAGTCCTACAATGAAAACAAAATAGAGACTGAAGTTTGTCTTGTACTGTTCTCTTCCTCCCCACCCTTAAAGTAACAGTGATTTATATGGGAGAAAAAGGAAGCCTTTAATTCACAGTCTAAAGTAATTTCTATGGTGTTTTTCTTTTAATAACTGCAAGGTACTTTGTTTTTCTGGAGTGATCTTTTACTTTTTGCAGTGCTCCATTGCAACAAATCATGTTGATAATTACATAATCTGTCACCTTTTCTGTATGCCACTGAATGTTTGGTATAATGTTATTATACCAAAATTTCATGACCTTAGTTGTTTGGTTTTGATTGTAAAACCTGCTAGAAACTACTCAAGGAATATGTGATGATGGAGCCTTTGCAAATAGTCCACATCCTTGCTTTCTTAGACTGTTTTGCTTTAATATGTTAACTAAAGTTGATACTATGTAAAATAACTTGCATAAAGCTAGTAATGTACAAGGAAGACTCAGAGGGTTATGCATTCTCACAGAACTTGAAGTCCACCTTCCGCTGTATCTTTTAAGTATTAAAACCAGTCTTGGGATGTCCTATTTTTAAGTCCTACCTAGGAAAACTCTTTCACTAAAAGCTTAAGGATGTTTCATGATGATGTCCTCATTTCTGGATGGAAACACACCTGAACATCTGAATTGAAAAGCATAAATGTCAGATTCAGTATGTCGAAGATGGTAATATATACATCATTCTTGGAAACATACAGCACCATGTTTGTCTTTTTTTTTTTTTTTTTTTCCTCCTTCAGTGGACTTTGCTCTTGGGTCTGACATGTTTGTTGAATACTGTATCAAAGCCAAATCTTTCTGCTCAATAATAAACCCAAGAAAAACCTAAAACATGTTAGAGTGACTGGAGAGACCCTGTAATGGTCGATAAGGATTTTTCTGCAATCACTGTCAAGTGAAATATGGGGTGAGATGGATCATTGGCTTAGGCAAAATTGGGAATTAAGTGCACTAGCTTCAAGCTGCATTTACTCAGCTGACTGTATTTGATAGAAAACTTGATCTCACAGATAGAATGCAAGTGTTGCAAAAAAAAAAAATATGTCAGAAGGAATGGAGATGTGATAATGTATCCCCCTTTGACTGATGTCTTGAACAGGAGTTGGGAGTTTATTATTTGTGAGCACTGTGAGGCCCCCTAAATCACTGAACAGCTATTAAAATTGGGCTGCTCACCTCCTCAAATATAGGTCTTCACTAAAAAATTAATGCATTTAATTGACTATCAGAACATATTCAAAGAAAATCTGCTTGAATCCAGATGTATAATAGAGAATGCATTAAAGATGTAACAGTTATTTTTAAATAGTCTAAAGTAGCTACTTAATGAAAATGAGAACATTTGCATAACTCATTTGCAGTAACTCATTTGAAGAATGACAATACCCTGCAACCTCTGTAGGGAAATGAGTTATCAGTTCTTTAAGTGAGAAGCGGGGGTCTGCATTTGTTCCCTAGAAGAGAATCAGAGTGACTAGATTTTTCTGGCTTCAGAATCTGATGAAAATAAAAATGAATGTGAAACTCCTGGATTGTAAGATCTTGTAGTCCATGTTGGGGAAGGCAAACCTTGTATTACCTTAGTTGTACAGTAACATTTTAAAATAGCACATTGTGGCTTTTGACCCTTTGCTTTCTGTAAGAAAGATTAGAAGTGTTTTGGTTTTTTAAAGTGTGTGGAGAAGGAGGAGGAGGAGCTAGGCACCATTATTTAAATAAGGGTGTCTTAAATGTTAATAAGGTTGTCACTGGCAATTAATTTTTCCATTTTGCTTCAAGATTTGTGTGACTTTTGGGGCTCATTCCAACTTGTGGATGCATCCAAAATTTTTGTGTGGCTTCATATGTTTCTGCAGAAATGCTAATGCAGAATGAGTATCAGAGAAGGAATGGTATTTAGGTGGAACTTGACACCCCTTTGTGGATTTCAGAGATAATCCATAAACTAAATCTATCCAGTCCATCATAAAAATCCAGACAAAACCAACTTTTGCTAGTAGTATATGTACAAGGTATATTGAGCATCCCTTTTTAAACTGTTTTCTTGATCCTTTTAATTTCATATGTGAAGTTATTTTAGGAATAGTTTCAGTGTATTTTAAAATACATTGAGTTAATACATGCAGGCTAATACAGCATAGAAGTCCTATCAATCTGTGTAGTATTTTGCATAACATGCTGTGATTTTGCCTTAGAAATTGGTACATCAAACTTTTTAATCACTGTCTCTCTGCAGTATTTTTAAAATTACAAATGTGAACAATGTAGCATTGATCAGTTACATTTCTGGCTGCTGTGTATTGCAGAGCAACTGTACAGCAGCCTTTTACTTACCTTTTCCTGCTGTGAATTCAGTCAGGGACAAAGTTACTATAGTAACTATTTGAGATGTATTACAACATGCTCTATTTAATCAACCAGTTGTCCAGAAAAATTAATGCTGAAAGGTAATTAAGGTCTGGTTCTGTTCTGACTGGTAAAAAGCATTAACCATAACTTCTTATCCTTGATTTTATGATATCCAGAGATTCTGAAATTTGAATTGTTACATCATGAGCCTATATTGTTACAGTATTCAAACCACAGTGATATTTGTGTTCCTGGGACAGGAAATATATCAGAATTTGAAGTTCATATAAGATGGGAAGAAAAACTGAAATGGTGGGAAATTATGTGAGCAGTCTTGTTGCTGTACTTTAAACCTGAAAGGCTGAAGGTAACTGAAACAGATTTCAAACATGGTTTAGAAATACAGAATGTAAGCGATGGAGTCTGGGAGCCTCAGATAGCACAGGACATAAATTAGGTTCAGTAATGCTAATATGAAATGCAGGAGCTAGAGAAATGTCAGAAACAGCTCATCTCTTCTGATCCTCACTTTACAGAAGTGTGGAGGGTGAAATAGATTGAAAATAGCAAAGTAAGTGTATCTGCTTCTTGTATAAAACTACACTATTTTTTATATATACTGGGAATAAGATAAAAGAGCAGCTCTGTAGTAAGTTAGTTCTTTTATTGTACTGAACTGCTTATGCAGAGTTTCTTGTTGGTGGCTGCCCCGAGACCTTCTCAAAGAACTTTATCTCTGAAATATAGGTAAGATTTGTTCCTCGATGAGTAGGCTGCCTTTTAGTGAACTGAAGGAACTTACAAGATTCAGGTCATCTCTTCAAGTGGTATAGGCTATACATGATTACCCATTTGTTTAGGAATTAATTTTTCGTCACTTGTATTACATTATTCTTTACTCACTCATTGTACTGCAGCTAAGAAAGACATTACATTCTTTTGAACTTACTGTTGGGTAAGCCTTACTTCTTGGGAGTGGGATCTTGGAATTTTCTTACTATCCTAGTCCTTCTCCCCAAGTCCTCAGCAAGACAGAAGCTAGAAACTGATGCTGAGGTTAAAATGCCAATCTGTAGGTACTGTGGGAAGCCTGTAGTCTCTCTTGCTGGTTCCTACATTTGTGTCCTGCACCTGACTGGAAGGATTTCTTAATGTTGCCTTGTCAGTGCCCAACCAGAATGCATTTGGAATATGAAATTGCCATCTCCCATTTTAAAGTGAATGGGAACAGGAACGTTACTACCACATATCTCTTGAGACAGGCATCTCTCTTTGGGATACAGACTACATATTTCATTCTGTAGTGTGTTGGACTGTTTCATTAATTTTAGAAAACTAAAAATGGCTTTAAACTCTTCAGTTTTTTGAAAGTAAGTTGGTTTCTTGGTGGTTGCTAGCCAGTTAGAACTCATGCTTGCTTCTAATAATTACTTTCTAATGCAGTTCTGCAGAGCATTTCTTTATGAAGTCTTCAAATACATACACTATAACATGTCAGGTTTTTGCAAGTGGAGAATTTTATCTATGTCTAACGCATTCAGCAGTTGAATTATGTTGCTATAAAAATAATTTCTTGTACACAGTCCTTAATTACCAGAACTTAAATATAAAACTTCATGATGAGCAACTCCTCTGTACGCTGCTGTTTAATCCTATGCTTCCTGTGGTTATGGCTGAAAATTGTGTGGATTGTCAGTGTGCTAATGAAATTAACTCTGGTTCTAGCCCAGATGTCAGAGCATTTCTTCAGATGGATAACCCAAAACACCAGTCGGATCCATCCGAAGATGAAGATGAAAGGAGCAGTCGGAAGGTAATAAAACAGAAGTAGAACAGTCTTCTAAACTTTAGCTACTTGAGGGCAACCTTAGGTGTATTACTTAATGAAAATTACTGGTTGGCTTCACAATAAATCCCTTCCATGCTCTTGAGAACAAATCTGTTTCACTGGGAGCTGCAAGATATTTTTCTGTGACATGTGAACAGCATAGAGGGGTAAAAATGATTGCTGGCTTTGTTTTGCTGTTTCCCTGCTTGCTATATGGGTTAAAGAAACACAGCTTTAGTCATAAGCTTAGCTGTCACAGTTTTTGCAGTCTCTTCAAAGATTCTTGCTAAGAACATCTGACAAGGACTAGGGGAGATTGAATGTTTAATTGTCTTTTTTGTTTGCTTGTGTGTTGTTTTTTTTAGAGGGGGAAAAATATAATGCAGGGGGAAAAAATGCAGTCTTTCTAGAAGTCACTAGGGAGCCAGGATGGATTTGATTTCATTTCACATACAAAACTGTGTGAGGTCTGAAGCCTCTTTTGTCACAAAAGCGACTATATGGCTAGATAGATTCTCTGCGAATTAGTTTACAGCCTCCAGAAACAGTGCTGTTTGAAAAAAGGAGTATTTCTAGGAAGGCAGAAGGGACATATTTAAGCTTGTTTTCTCTGTGGTTTACCTCTTAGCATACAGATGTGATCTTAGTACTTCTCTTCTTATTCAGCCCCTGTTAAAGATGTAAGAGTTCTCATTTTGGTCTGTGTGTGATCCACAGCAGATTTAGTGTTTTCTGAAAGTTTCACTTCCAGAGATGCCAGCCTGCTGCTTTTTTTTTTTTTTTAAAGTGTTTGACAGCACTATGAGCACACAGCAGAATTCTAATTTCAAATACCGGTTTCCTCCTCCTTTGAAAGGTATTTTAAGTAATGTGATGTGATCTAAACCTGTGGAAAATTAATGATGTGTCAAGGCACAACAGATACAAAATAGGAAAAGAGCTAATACATGGACCATTCTTTTTGATAGAAGATTCACCTTCTCATAGTTACTGTAAATGATGAAGCTGAACAATAAGAAAGAAAAACAAGCCTTCAGAATTTTTATACAGTAGCTTTTCCAAAACCGTCCAGTACTACTGTGTGATTGGCTCTTATTAGTGAATAGTAGCATCCATCACTGCTGTCAGGGCATTCTCTGCTTCTGTAGGAGCACTGGTTTTGTGATGCTGCTAGCCTGTCTGTCCCCACGTAACTTGTATTTGAATGCAGTTTATCCTTCTCTGATAGTCCAAAACCACAATGAGGGTATAAATACTGCTTTTTTTAATCAAAACCAAAATGAAGAAAATTACCTAAATGACAGTGGCTTCCTCCTCTCATTGTGATTTATAAATTCTGTCTGGGTGTGTACTGGTGAGATTCATTATTTCTGGAATTGAGTTAGTTAACCTTTAATGTCAGGATAGAAACGGTTGGTAGGGGCAGAGAGAATGTTCACTTCTGGGTTTTTTTTAAAGCACTTTGTCTTTTATTAATTACTCTTGCATAAACAGTGTGGGTTTAAAATTATTTTATTGGTAAGATTTTTGAAAATTAAAATAATAAAAGGTAGAAAAAATATTCCTAGGGCAAATAAAGAAAGGGTAAGTTCTGGATGAGGAACAAGTTGGTTGTTGAAATGATCTTGAATTTTTATTGCTAATCTTGTCCTCTGTGTCTGGACACAATTATTTTATTACCTTCATCCTTGAATGTGATGTGTATAGAAATAATCTGTGACAAGGTGATGCTGGTTAGATATTTCAGCTCACAAAGTTCCCAATTTGGATGTTAGATCTCTCTAAAAATTTAAGGTAACAAGTGTAAAGGTATGGTTTGAGCAAATTATTAGAGTATTTTGAAATTAATATTGGTTGAAATATAAGAGAGAATTTTTTTTAAAAAGTATTAAAAATAAACCTCTTTGTCTCTCCCAACAGTTAAACTCTACCTCACAGAATATCAACTTGGGACCATCTGGAAATCCTCAGTAGGTTTCAATTAAATTGAATTAAAATATAATCAATTTAATTAAAAAAAAAAAATTTAATGTAATTTTATTTAAATTAATTTTTAAACCTGAAAAGTTAGACCAAGTGTAATTGTTAATAGTATGAAAAGTTCTTTGGATGTAAGCCTTTATTTGTTGATTTGCAGTGCTCCAGAGCAAGCAAAACACTGAATCCTGTGCTAAATAATAATTTAAAAACTTTTTTTCTTCTTCACCTTCAGATTTTGTTAGTTTGCTGTCCTTTTATTTAAGGATGCTATAGCAAAGATGACCTCTCTGTCTTGGGAGTGGTCTCACAACTGTTAGGAATGTGTGTACACGTTCTGAAAACAAGTTTGTTTTAATTCATGGCAAAAGAGCAGCTTGCCTTGTTGATACTACAAACCTAGTTACTGCAGTCATAACTTGCTTCTGTGTTTGGTGTCTTCTGTAGAGTTTCTGTTCTCAGTTCTGTGTGAATCTGTACTTTTCTCATCTAGGAGATGACTGCTATTTTGGTTTTGCTTTCCTCACAAACTTAGTCTGGGCTAACAGGAGGAAATGCTTAATAGATTGCAGTAAGAAATTTTAAGACTACTTCCCTTCAGGGGCAGTAAGTGGAGAGGTGTATGGTGATGTAACTTGTTTTGAAATTTGAAAACATGCATAATTGTTTTGCTGACAAAAATATCTCTGAATTGTATTTAGGAAAAAAGTTAAGGGAATCCTGGGAAAAACTGAAAGGAATGGTGATGTGGGAAGTGGAAAAACTTGTGAGTGAATTCATATGTACCCATGCAGAAGAGGAAGGTGTTGGGGCCTCTCCTCCCTCTCGCTGTAGTTTAAAATGAGGGAGGAATGGATGGAGGGAAGGATGGGATAAGCAAAGAGGATAGATAACAAACTTTGTCTTTCCTTCCTTCCCTCATGTAAGTTTGAGAATCATTTGGCCCCTTGGAAATAAGAACTAAGCTCCAGGAAAAGTCTTGGAGAAATGAAGACTTAAAAATTACAAGAAACTATGGAGAATAAAAGAACAGTCTTGCTCCTCCTTTAGATCTTAAACTTATAAACTCCAAGGATGCAACTTGAACGTTTTCCCTGGAGAAAAATGGAATTGCAAAATGAAGAGGAGTTGTCTCTGAGGGAAGGTTTGTAGAAGTCTAGGTGTGGGGTGGAATGAAGAATAAAGGAGGGTGCTAACAGACTGTTCTTCTTGCATTACAACTGCAGTGCTACACTAGACTGCTGTACAGCTATAAAGCTTATAATTTCTACCTGGATGACTTGTCTCCTTCCTAAATATCTTTCAGTGCTAAACCAACAGACTTTGATTTCCTGAAAGTTATTGGAAAAGGCAGCTTTGGCAAGGTGAGCTTTCTTACTACTGTGTCTTATCCTGGTGCAGGGATGCTAGCTGGTGCCTTGTGCATAGTGACTGTTGGCTAGAGACTTGCCCAGAGGTTTTAGAAGTGGTATCGGTCTGAGGTGGCTTATGAACTGTAATATTGGATCCCTGTGCTGCTGCTTCATGGCCCTGCCATTTTCCCCCTGGTATAGCAGCTGTTGGCTGCCTCAGTCACTTGTTGGGAGTAACAAAAGGGAACATTTCCCTTTCTCGTTAAGAGCAATAGGGATCCTCTCTTTCCCCCAGAGAGGAAGGGAGGTACGCCTGTGCTCATGCAGCAGCTGCAGTACAAATCATTCATTTCTTTGTTGGCATGGACTGTTTCGTCAAACCCCTAATGCTGTGGAGCAGCGTGAGCAACAGCCTGTTGAAAAGTGACTTAAATATTGATATTCTACAAAGACACAACAGAGTCTCTCTTCAAGTCTTTGTTTTTGGGTTGTTTTTCAAATTGTTGTTTTTCATTAAATTAACTTTAAAACTTACAAAACCAGCTGAAACTGATCTTGATAGTGATTCAGCAGGTCATAGAAAAGAAATAATATAATTCAGTCTTTCGTGATACCACTGTCATGACAGATATTTACTGAACTGTAAGCTCGCTTTATTGGTGATTGTATTGCTGTTGACTGTATTAGAAGCAAAGAAACTGTACTGTGGAAAAAATAGCATAAATACTTTCCAGTTATGTTGAAATTATGAAATTGTTACAAATAGAACATAAACTACAACTAATGACATTTCTTCATTTGTTTTGAATTTCACAGGTTCTTCTTGCAAAACGAAAACTGGATGGGAAATACTATGCTGTCAAAGTGCTGCAGAAAAAAATTGTTCTTAATAGGAAAGAGGTAAAGAGAAATATTCTTTCTCCACCTACCTCCTGCCCTTTTCCCCTGAATTACAAAATCATTCCTGTTTACATATTGATCTCTTACTTCCTTGCAGCAAAAACATATTATGGCTGAACGCAATGTGCTTTTGAAAAATGTGAAACATCCATTTTTGGTTGGATTACATTACTCATTCCAAACAACAGAAAAGCTTTACTTTGTCCTGGATTTTGTTAATGGAGGAGAGGTATGTGGTTGTTGTGTTTGGATTTGTGTCTCTCTGTTTTGCTAAATCTAGGTGGGAGGAACAAAATGATTCTTTACAATGGGCTGTGATCAGCATTCTCCCAATTTTGAAAATACTATTATTACCTGCTGTTACTACAGACTTCTGTAGCTATATGGACCCTGTTCCTCTTCTTAGTGACAACTTTAATCCCAAACTTATTCAAAGTTGTCAGACACAAATACGGTACTTTACAGTTAGATAAATTTACCTTTATTACAAATTAATCTTCTGTTGACATTTTTCACCATGTGAAACTGTCTTTTCCTCTTGCATCTGCATTAGCTGAGATGCTGGTATTTCGAAAGCTGAAGGAAGGAAACTGTCAACTGAATTTACTACATTGATAATATTGGGAACCTTGGGATTATTCTGTCGTTTTGCATGGTCTAATTACTTATTGCCAAATAGCGTTATCCTCAGGTTCTTTTCCTTGAAGCAATGCTACTGAATCTGAAAAGCCATTAAATAACTTAGGGGAAAACTCATGAAAGAAATGGAGAAAGTCTGTATATGTCTAAAAAAGATGTTCTTGAGCAGTTTGTCTTCAGCTAGGGACCTGTTGCTTTTTAAAGTACCCAGTACTTCCAGGAGTGCTCAAGAAACTCATGTATGAACTGGTTCAATAGCCAGTACACATGGGAAGGTTATAAAATGTTGCTTCTGTTCCTTCAGCAGGTTTTGTGTAAAATCAAGGGTCTTGTAGACTAATAATACTTGGACCTATCTAGGAAATTAGTTGTGACTGAAGAAAAGAGTGTAATGAAAAATTATTGTCTGAATGGAACTATCCAACTTACATGCTTTAAAGAAGAGCTGTATGTCTTGTCACTTGCTGTGTTTCAATTTGGTAATTTATTGATGTAAAAAGGTAGGCATTTAAGGTCTTATCAAAAGAAGGTTGAGCAGAACAGGGAAGAAGAATGAGACAGGATACTGTTGTAGGTGATAAAACTCTGGTAGCTGAAAGAGCACAGGAGAAGGGGTAGAATTGAAATTGTTTTGGCATACCTCAAGGTTACCCATTATGTTGCTGCAGCTGGATGAGATCTGCACTAGGGTATACATTAGTTCATATTCATGTGGCCTGCTATGAGTATTTACAGTGCTCCTAGAGCCCCTTTAGGTGTCAGAGTTGGGGCAAGACGGGCCTTTCTCTTGTCTAATGTACTGTTATCTGATGTAGACTCTATTAGCAAACTCCTGGTTTGCTCTACTCTGAATTCCTGGCCACAACTTAGTTTGGCATTCTTTCAGGCAAACAAAAATACAATTCAAAACAGCTTTCAGATTTGAATGAAGTACTTGGAAAACTGATGTCTTTTTATTTTTTCCCAAACTTTGTAGGCGGAAAGCAGAAAATTTATGCTTTCTTAAAATCTTTAGAAGTTGAATGGGTAGTATAGTTTAATCTGTATGTTTATGACTTAATCTTCAGCTAGACTTCTGTATCTGCTCAAACTATTTGAAGGCAGACAGCTCTTTGTAGTGGAGAGAATTTGTGGATCAGCTTGGAATATCCATCTTCCAAAGGGATCTACATCTAGGTGATTTCAGAACACAGTTCTGTAGATACTTATATACAAAACTTTGAATATGAGCATAAACAGAAATGGAAGATTACTTATTTGACACCAGGTTATATTCTGTTAGGAGGCTATCTTGTGTGATTTAATCTTGCCAACTTCTGTTCACAGCTTAGTGGTTTACCTCCTTTTGACTAGTCTTGGATTTAGGGGAATGTCCTTATGTGTTTTGAGTTACCTATCCATTTGTGAGCTACAAAAAAGAAAGGAAAAGAGTAAATGAATGACAAAGTCATGCAGGAAAACCAATTTTATTTCATTTTACACTTAAAAAAAAAAAAGTGGACAGCTAAATAAAATTACTTTTCACTGTTAAAATTACATGTTATTAACCTGATCTTTTTGTGTATAATGTTCTTATTTACTATTTGCATATTTACAGCTGTTCTTTCACTTACAAAGAGAACGTTCCTTTCCTGAGCACAGAGCCAGATTTTATGCTGCTGAAATAGCCAGTGCACTGGGCTACTTACACTCCATAAATATAGTGTACAGGTAAGTTTCTGAAATGTATCCTTGTCCTGCAGAAGTTCAAAATAGGAGAAGTTACTGAATAAAAAACACTCCATGAAATCATCTTACAGGAAACCTGAACATAACCATTTCAACAAAATTTGAAACTTTCAGCTGAAGAATAAAAATCCTTGCCTCTGAAGCTCTTGTGCCAGTGACTGCTGTTTTGAATTAATTTTTTTCTTTTTTTTTTTAAATAGGGATTTAAAACCAGAAAACATTCTCCTAGATTCATTAGTAAGTATGCAACATAATTTTTGGATTTCTATGTCCTCTCACAAAATTGACTTGGGTGTACCCACATGTTGAGCATGTTCTGTTTTTAAAATACCACTCTTTCTTAAACAGGGTCATGTTGTGTTGACAGACTTTGGACTTTGTAAAGAAGGGATTGCAAGTTCTGATACCACTGCAACTTTTTGTGGGACACCAGAAGTATGTTGACAATTTTTGTGGCTTTTTGGCTAGTAATCTGTGCCTGTTGACTATTACTAATACTTGTGTAACTGGAAGATCAAATACTCTGTTTTGTACTGCTGGAGATTTGCATTCTTTTAACAAGCTCTTCCATGAAACCAAACGAAAGACAAGCTTCCTGCAGATCTCTGTCCTTTTTACTACTATGCAGTGTCTCCTGCTTACTACCCACATCCCTATAGCTCACTTCTTCCTTTTTCTAAGCATTTTCAAACATTGCTTCCTTCCATGTCTCCTAACCACTGGCTAGACACAGGACAGTTTGCTTGTGTAACAGCTGCAGCAGATTTGCCAATACGAATCCTGCCACTGATTTTTAGTAAGTTTATAGGTACTTAATATCTGAGTCTTAAGCAAATTTTGCTTATGCATGAAACTCTGAACTTGCTGACCAAGTTTATTAAACTCTGTTGTCTTTTTCACTGAGAAAACTTAGAATCTGGAAGTCTTGAACACATGAGGGATTCACTAAAATACCAGGATTAGTGGCTTTGATAATTTTGATTAACATACTTTAGATTACAGAAAAAGCCTTTGAAGGCAATGAAGGATGAGTGAGGAGCATTTAGCTGAAACATTTGAACTCAAAAAAAAAAAAGGCAGGTGGCACCAAGTGACAACTTATCCTAGTTGTGATCAGAGTAGGAGTCCATAAAGCTGAGTGGTAAATGTAAGCTGAAACAATATTTGGTTTAATATTTTTGGAATGTTCAAAGGACAATATATAGAACACTGGTAACTCTGCATCTGTTTGAGAAAATCTGTGGGTTTTTTTCTCATGTTCAGAGGCTTAGTCTTCACACTTAACCTTGGACTTGCATGAATTGCAACATAAGAGGATGCTAATGCTGTTGCTTCATATGAGTTCTTAAAAGTATCAAGACTCTTAAAAATATCAAGACTAAACAAAGCAGTTTAAACAAAGTATTAGCCTTTCTAATCCAAGATGTAGATTCAGATCTTTCATAATCCTGCTAAAAGTGTAATGAACTTCTCAGTGTTTTTAAACACTTGAGTTGAATGACTCGGTGAATTCCAACACCTAAAAAGCTCATAGGATGTTGTGAACGATTAAAAAAGCTTAAGTAGTTGAGTTCAAAACACTTCATGCTTTTACAGGGTCATCTATAGTCAAATGAGTTACAGGGCACTGACACATAGAGGAAATTTGAGAATACTGATCAAATTAAACTGAGTTTCAGTCTGTGCCTTGTCTGACAATGCTATTGTCTTTAAATTAAATTTCAGAATTTGGGTACTAGAATGATAGAAGTGAGCATCCTCTTGTTTTGAGAGGTTAGAAACTATGTGCAGTAGATGAGGACTGAGATGATGATGATCCAGCCACAGTGATTTTATATTACATATTGACAAAGAATGGTCTCATGAAGTGGCTGTCTTTGTGCTGCAGCGTTAGTAAGCTCTGAGATGCTGAGTAGATTTCTTTCAAAGCAGATGGAAACCAGTTAGCACTGTCATTCAGCATTTGATGGTATCCAGTGTTTATCACAATTAAATGATACCTATTTGACAAGAATCCCTAATTTAGCAACTCACAACTCATGCCCTCATTGAGATTTACAGTGAAACTTAGTATAGGTCATGCAGTTTCTCCATAACAGTAGATTTGAGGCAGAATTAGTATCTTCTTATTTCATTTTTATGCACTGGATGGAGAACATAGAGGCTTAAGATGGCAGAATAGGCATGGCTAGTAGCTGGCTTGCCTCTGCAACAGTGCAGCAACCTATCTGAAATGTAAAATAAGCTTCATAATAGCAGTGCCAAAGTAGTTTGGCAAAACAGTAGTGTGTGGGAGGTATTGTTTCAGTTGTGAAAACAGGTGTCCTACTTGCTAAATGACCAGATGGTGCAGAAATATTTGCCACGTTTGTTGAAGGACAAGATAATACTTAGCAGTCTTAAAATTGCTATGAAGCAACTTTTCCTGAAGGTGTTTACTGTGATGTGACTAAAACCTAGGTTTTATTCTTGCTAGCCTAATGCTCTAAAATACTTTATTTATTTTTTTATTTTAGTATCTTGCACCAGAAGTCATTAAAAAGCAGCCCTATGACAACACAGTAGACTGGTGGTGCCTTGGTGCAGTTCTTTATGAAATGCTTTATGGGCTGGTATGTACTTAATATGGGGGGGGTAGGGGTTGCTTCCCTCCTCTCTCCCCCTTTGTGTGAAATAACCCTGGAGTGTTGTTAAAGATGGTAACTTTTGCAAAATATTGAAATACTCCACTTAAATGGATGAACAGTTTGTCTTATATGTAACATAGCACCTGTTTTTCTGTTTTCGGATTTTGTGTTGCCTCTTGATGTCTAAAATTTTGCTTTCCAGTGAACTGCTGGACATCAGTTCTGATGAAGACAAGTAGTCATCCCTTTGAGGGAATATGGAAGCAAACTGAATCAACAGCGATAACATCCAATTAAAAAAAAAAAAAAAAAAAAAAAAAA